AGTCAGCGCAATAATTTGCGCAATTGAACTCATCAATTGCAGCAATTAAATGTGCCCACGGCGGGAGGAAATGGAAGGGGGTGGGTTGTACAGACAATAACGAGCTATGAATTAACTTAGTCAAATGCAGAGGGGGGCAAAATGGATGTGATATAACGCCAACAAACAACAAAAACAAAAGGCCAGCGACAGGCAGAAAAGTTAATTAAATGATTTTCAATGCCCGTCGACCCCGCGGTACACTTTCTTTTGCCTCTCGGGAAAATCGAAGAAAAACTAATGGAAATAAAATTTCCATTTGAACGCTTGACTAGCAGCGATGAATATATTTTGCAACATTTAATTGCTCAATTTATGTAAGCAAGCAAAGCAGCTCCGAGGGTCGAATTGATAACGAAACCATCAGCACAACAACTTGCTACAAGCAATGGAAAATAAACAAAATAATCTGTAAAGCTTTGCCTGAGAAAAGGAAATGTTTTAGCGGGAGGAGAGCGGCGAAAAAGTGGAAAAACGTTTTGTTTTTACGCAAACTCAAGACTAAGTCGCATCATCGTTTAAATGAAATAAAACTTTTTTGCGCAGCTGAAATTTACATAAACAAATCACGACAAGTCGCAGTATGATAGCTTATCAGCTTCCATCAGGCTAGCCAACGGCAACTTAATAGATACAAATTGAATTTAATGAAATGCATCCCATTCCAGGGTTGAGGAAAACTCGTGCAAAACAAATGTGCGGAAAACAACGCGAAGAATCAGAGGGAAATTGAAATTGTAAACAAGACGGAGTCCGAGTGGCAATTTAATTAAAGGAATTCGCTGCAGTATCTACATCTTATGTAGTATCTTTATCTGAGAGTCATTTCTATTTTGGAAATATAAATGGAGGAATTCGAGATAAATATATATTTGCACAATTCGTGCGTGCACAATTTCTATGGTGAAGAATTTCTATAAAAAGTATATTACATTTTAAATTTTAATCTTGTTGTCTTTTATTTGATATTATTTAAGATCACATTTAGATGTTTCGATCTAGTATTTTGAACATACTATGTGGATAAACTACCTTTCAGAGCACAAAATTAAACTTGAACCAAAACATTCCCAAGGAATGTTGATGTATAAAATTCACTGCGTATATTAAATTCTGAGTGAAAAAATGAACCTTTAATTGGTATACTTGGCGGAATTATCTCTCAGTCGCAGGCACTTTGTGGGATGCAGTCGGAGCCAAAGGTAAACAACAGACGAGAGAAAACAACCTGCGAACCTCTTCGCCCTTCCCCTCGGACCCTGTGTGGCCCTTTGTTTGTTCTGACAGCCTGTCAGTGGCCAAGATGTGGCCACACAACAATACGGAAGATGGTACGGAGAGGAGGGAGTTAAGGCTGAGAGGCAGAGACACGTGACACTTGATGGGCCAACCGCCATACCATCCAAACTGTTTGCCTAACATTCCGCATGCATGGCAAGTGTGTTTGTCGAGGCCTTTTGCCCATTGCAAATTTGTTAAACAAATCAACAATGCTTGAAACTCAAAACACTCAAGAGACAGCAAGCAAGATTTTCCAAAAGTCTAGGATATTTTTTTTGGTATTTTGTGTTCTAATTAAATAATTTTTTCAAGGGCAGAACTGAAATTCTTTTTGTATTTTATTTATAAGTTCCTAACACATTTTTTTCTGGAAATAAAAAAACTACAAAGCTATTACTGTTTTCTAGACTAGTTTGTCCATAAAGCAGTAATAATAAATTATTGAAAACAGCGCTTTATATTAAAAAAAAAAATTTAACACATGTCCCTTGTTAAACTTGTTGAATAAAACAGTCCAGGATTTTCTAGGTTTTTTTATATTTCTTGCCATTTTCCATGCCAACTGGCTGACCCTGTTCTGCCGAGCAGCTTTAGAACAACGCCAAGATGGCTCAAATCGAAACCGAAACCGGTTTTCGGTTTTCAGTCTGAAAGAAGCGAACCTGCGGGCAGATTGCGTCTCGTCTTTAACTCAGGTGCACCGCCGCAAATGGCAAAAGTATGTAAGTAGGAGCTGCCGTTGCTCCTCCTTCAGGAATCTGGTTTTCTGACTAAACACCGAGTGTGGCTTACATTGGGGCTTATACATTTTTGAGGGGGTTTGGACTTTCAAAAGCCCTGCCTGCAAAGATTCACCAGTGAAAATAGGTTTAAAGGTTTTGGTGAATGGTTTATGACATAAACTTAATGGGTCAGTACTGAATGATTTTTCTGAGTCATTCACTACGTGATGGATGCTGCCGCCTTTTTCCGATTAAAGAACAGCAGTACAGAAGCTGCATTAAGAACTTATAAAGCCGATAAGAGTTTTCTGAGATAAGGTGGCGTTGCATCGACCAAAACAACTTGACAGAGTGTTCTATAAATAAACTGCACAGTTAAATACCCTGTAATCAACTGATTGCCGGGCACCCAACTAATTGCAACCTCGCCGGTAATTGCACCACACTGAAAGAAACACTATCAAAAGATCTCGCTTCAGATGTTAAATATGGTGAGGTATATCATACAATTTTAAACTGTGGGCATAATCTATTGCCTTTATTTAGTATTTTCGATTTATGTACATTCAAGGGTCAACAAATTTACATAGTTTTGACTGAGTTCAAATTACCCAATAGGTATTAAAAGGTCCATAAAAATAATAACCAGTGGTTGTCTATTTTTAGGCTGCGGGTCACGCACTTAAGGCAATTGCCACTTGGCGAGCGGAATGTGAATTTGAATGTGGAACGCGATTTGTGCACGCCAACTAACGAAAGTGATGTCATTTGCAGCCATTTGTTGCTGTTTTCATTGGCACTGTTATTATTCCTGGCAACTGGGGGCCCACTAAAGAGAGCTCCAGGGATGACCCACAAGTGGCTTCCGTCAGCTGGAGCGGAAACCATCGGTGCGCAACAGGTGCGTCAGCAAGGAGGGTACTTATACGCTGTCCAGAAATTGGTTCAAAGCGTAGATGAGTGTTACCATTTAATGAATTGAATGAGCCACAGTCCAACTTCGGTTAGTCCAAAATGTTAAAACTGACAATCACATTTTAGTCATTTGCAGATTGTGACTCAAATGTAATTTTTAAGATTTTCGAAAGTCGAAAAGTTTGAATTGTTCGTAGTTAAAGTAGATAAGTTGCATTACGTACATACAAATTAATTAAAGTCAATTGATTTATAAAACAAATTACAATTAAAATTTTAAAATTAAATTTTTATAAAAAAAAATATTTAAATTTATCAATACTTTATTTGCAAAATGTAAACTTGTAAACATAAGATCACCTTTAGACAAATTCGTTATAAAAAAGATGGACTGTATTTCCCTTTGGAATGTTCCCCGATCCCACACCTAAATCCTCAAAAGAGAGCAAACGAGGGACAAAGAGAGTGGGGAAAGTGTGGGATTGTGCTGATATGAAAAGTATTAAGCAACCGATTTGACCGGCAGACGCTCACCCACACACACGAACTCACCTGATAATACGAATCCGACATGGTTTTTTTGGTGCGCCGCGTTGAATCACTCGATGCCCTTGCTTCTTGTTGTTGTTTTAGATGTTGGTTATTAATGTTGTTGTTATTGTCAGTGTCTTTTTGGGTGTCAGTTTTTGTTGTTTTTGGCTTTTTATTGGCGCCGCACACAAGCACACGCGTCGCGTTTTTTGTTTACTTTTCTTTGCGTGTTTCTGGAATTGTTTAGCACTTTAACACCTGATGCCGAACAGTATTTTCTTTATCTCTTTTATCGAGTGCGCTCTCATTTGATTTCCTGCGGCCGAAAAAAGTAGCAAAATGAATAGAATTCAGTTGTTTTGGGCAGGGCAACACACAAACACACACAACAAACACACCAACAAGTGGCAGCGCCGAAAGGTGAGAGAGTGAGAGAGAGGGAGACAGAGCGTCTCATTTACAATTGTTGCGAGCGAAACAAAGAGATGGGACTTGCTCTTCTTCTTGCGCTCCTCTCCCCACTTTTTCCCCCTTTGTTGCTGCTAAATATTATGCATATTCCAGAGACAATGGAGCACAATTGAACGGTTCTTCCTTTTCTTTTTCTGTTCTGTTCTGGTCTTGCAATTCGGTTTATAAATAAGCTTTGCAGTGAGTGCGAGGGGGAGGGGTAATGCAGCGCAAGTGGCGGCAAAAAGAAGCAGATCGCGCAGCTAAAAAAGGAAGTGAAAGAGAGGGGCAGACGAAATACCGGTTGGCGTGTAAATGGCCACATCCGCATTTAAATGCACCTTGAATTAATAGCACGGCCAAGTTTGTTTAAACAAATTTTCAGCACTCGCACGCACACATACACTGGGTTTTACAATTATCTCGGCATCTTCTTCATCTTTTTATCTTTTTATACAAATCTCAGGTTGTCTCGCTCGCACACACACTCGCTCCGTTCAGATCGAAAAAATTCTTTTGCTGCTGCTGCGTTGTCTTCTCTCTTTTCTCTCGGTGTGAGGTTGTTGTTGTGTTGCCCTGCGTTGCGTTGACTCTATTAGAAATTAGCCACTTAATTAACTATCACGCACTTTGTGTTTTCAAATCATAACGCCTGGTTAACCGCCTGCATGTAATAAATAAACACTGCTTGTATTTATTAGTGTTTTTGTAATTTAAAACGCAGAAATACCCAACTCAACACACGGATGTTCGAGCATGGAACCAGAGTGACCGTAGCTGGATCGCTGTAGTACGCCAACACGTCCTGGAAAATATACTAAACGAGAAAAAATGTACTAAAATATACCAGAAAAAATGTATAATTTCGATAGTCAAAAAATTTAAATTTGTCTACATTTATTTTAAATTTTAACTGCTGCATTGTCTTAAAAAGTATTTAATCCATTTTTGAAAATTCCAAGCAGATGGTTTCTCAAACTTTGTGAATCAATTGTTTTAAACCATCTTAATCACTTCTGAACAAATACAAATTAAGTACCTTTTTTAAAGATTACGAAAACGTTTCATTGATATAAAATAAATGTTTATTAACTGGCTACAATGTGGCTAAACGGCTGGTTTTTTGGGGAGCGAACCAAACGCGGAGATGACAGTGCCCTTGGTTCCCGTAACAGTGGTGGTCAGAGCAGGAAGAGTGGGCTTAACAACGGTGGATGAGGGAGCCGGCTGATCCCACTTGGACTTGCTACAAGATAAAATCGAATCAACATTAAATTCAAATAGATTTTAACACCCAACCCATGCTTACCGCTTTTTGGCCTCCTCCTCGACTTTCCTGGCCAAGGCTGTGGCCTGCTCCACCTTGTCCATATCCTTACGATCCTTCTGCCTCTTCACCATCTCCGTTTTTTGGACCGCTGCCAAGGACTCGTAGTAGGATTCCTCGCCCCATTGCAGGGGATCATAGATTTCCGGAGGATAGTTGGTGCCAAATTCGTTGATGTCGCAGAAGCTGATCAGTTTGTCGTAGATGCTGGGATTGCGGAACTCCTTGCGATCCTGAATAACGCGATTCATGTCCATATTGGTCTGTCGCATTTTCGTGTACATTTTGGTGATCTTGGCCACCAATTCCGCGGACGGTTTGCCCTTGGGTTCGGGTGGCAACTGGAACTTGTACTTGGCGTACTTGGGATCCTTTTCGTAGCTCTCGGCGGTACGTTCTTCCGCGGGAAATCCTCCGGATTCCTCGTCCACCTCCATTGGCGTATCCCCGTCTTTGGAACCATTTCCTGCGTTGCTTTTATCCTTAGTCTTGGGACTATCTCCGCTCTGGGAATTGGAACTATCGCTCTCTCCACCACTGCTGGACTCCTCTTCGCTAGAGGGCTCTGCTGCCCGATCCTCATCCTCGTCGGAAATCAAGGTGTCATCCTGGTAGCTCACCAATCTTCGAACTTTCTTGGCCCTCTTCTTTTTCTTCTCCTTGGATCGTTTCGTTTCCCCATCCTGTTTGGTGGGCGTTGGCGAGGGACGTTTGGGAGGAATGATTACCTGTAATTTAGTACTTGGTTATTTGTTTTCTAGAATTTTGAGACTTTTTGTTTGGCACTCACCTGGGACGCCGTGGAATTCTGCGAATCCGGACTTGCGTCGCCTTCATTCTCGGAGTCTGTGTACTGGGCGGTCAAGCTGGCCAGTGCGGCCATTTTATAGATTGTTTTTAGGGTTTAACAAGTCTTTAGGTCCTTTGTTTTTTAAATATTTGTTTAAAGTTGTGCAAAACTCTTTTATTTTTCTTTTGGCTGATAACCAGGGCCGAAGAATACAATTTCTGGTATTTTTTGTGTAAGCAATATGACCGCTTAACGTAGTATTCAAATTGTTCTTTATTTGAATTAATTTATTTCATACCTACTTGATTTTACTTTAATTCCATGATTTACATATTTATGCACTAGTCTACATAGACTTGGTCTCATTTAAATATATAAATCAAATTAAAATAGAAAATATTTTAAGCACTTTTGTCTTATTATGTTCAGTATTTTTCAAACATATGTTTAGTTCTTCGGAAGCTGGGCACTCTTCGACAATTCAAGATGATCTCGGCGAAGGAAAAACCGGAGGAACAGGACAGGATCCAGAAACGGGTCAACAAGATCCTGGAGGCTCGCCTGGAGTCGGATAAGGTAAGTCCCCCGAAGCCGCCAAGTCAGGTCAACAACCAATAATACCCATTTCCCCATAGGACACCTTGGACGCTCTGAGTGGCCTGTCCACCTTCTTTACGGAGAACACCCTGCAGAACCGCAGGAATCTGCGCAGCCAGATCGAACACCGCTCCGTGGGGATCAACGAGAACTTCCTAAAGGCCTTTCGCGAGGTAAAGCTATCCTTGGACGCCGTTTGTGAAGATTTGGACACGATGGCCACGTCAGTAGAGACCATGAAATCGGATCTGGAGACGTCAAAGGCCCTCACCAAGGATCTGATCGAGCAGACAAACACCATGCAGCGGGAAAGAGATCGCTTGGAGGTCCACCAGCAGATTGCCCAAGCTTTCCTGGCCCGTTTCCAGTTGAGTGGAGCGGAGCACCAGTTGCTCTACGGTGCCGCCAAGGATGCCCCCATTGTGGCGGACTTTTTCCGTGTTCTGGACAGAGTCCAAAGCATCCACGCCGAGTGCCGGCTGCTGATGCAGTGTGGATACCAAACAGCTGCCCTTGACATTATGGAGGAGATGACGTTGCACCAGGAGGGCGCTCTGGAGCGGCTTTACCGCTGGACCCAGAATCACTGTCGCAGTTTGGAGAACAACGAGATCGGTCCCCTGATTGTAGAAGCCATGAGCCGGCTGCAGGATCGTCCCGTGCTTTTCAAGTGAGTTTTTTTTATAAAATGTTCTTTACAATTATTGCAAGTAAACCACTCCTTTTTTAGATATGTTATTGATGAATATGCCATCGCGAGACGAGCTGTTTTGGTGCGCCAGTTTATCGAGGCCTTGACAGAAGGTGGTCCCGGTGGCAATCCCAAGCCCATTGAGCTCCATGCCCACGATCCCAAGCGTTATATTGGCGATATGTTTGCTTGGCTGCATCAGAGCATTCCCAGCGAGAAGGAGAACTTGTCCTTATTGTTCAAAAAGTGCGATAAGCAGGGTACGTTCAGTTTAGACTCCTTGATTCAGTCTCTGAATATTTTTCTTCCACAGATATTTCCGACCAGCTGCAAAACGCCTTAGGTTACATAGCCGATGGCGTATGCCATCCTCTCAAAGTAAGAGTGGAGACGATTCTACAGGCGGAGAAGGACACAATCGTACTGTTTACCATATCCAATCTGCTACGCTTCTACCAGCAAATAATGCGCCAGGTGGTGCAGGGCGGCAGCCTGGAGGATTGCTTGGTCGAGTTGCAGAAGAGCAGTGAGCAGATCTATCTGGGTGCTTTGGCTGCCCAGGTGCGAAGTGTTCTGCAGCGCCCATCTGGAGGATCGGGTCTGGCTCTAGAACCCCCACAAAGGGATCTCATACCTCCGCCAAGTGTTGCCCGCTTGTTAAATATGCTCAAGGAAATCCTTTCGGTGGCCACCATGGTTGATGGCCGCCAAGCGGACATCACCAAGATCGTGAGTTGTGTGATAGATCCACTACTGCAGTCCGTACAGGAAAGTGCCGCCCATCTGCCCACCGTAGATATGGGCGTGTACCTTCTGAACTGCCTGCATCACATGCAGAGCTCGCTGGCCGTTTACGAATATATGGACGAACGCGTAGAGCGGCTGCAGGCGCAATCGGATGCCCAATTGGACACTCTGACTTCCGAGCAGGCATCTTCACTGGTGGCTAATCTAAACCTGGGTCCTATCTACGCGATTCTGCAAAGCAATCAGTCTAAAATAGAGACAAACCTGCTAAAAATCTTTATGTCCAAGATGGACGCCTTTTTGGAACTGCCCGATGTGTTGCTTTTGCCGCAGGTGCAGCTAATCATGTCCAGCAGTCATCGGGCTGCAGTGCAAAAGCGTTCCTTTAATGTTATCGTGGCCATCTACAAGCAGATCTACGAGCGGGTCCATGATCCGGCCAACGGATTTGAGCAGCCGGAGCAACTGCTTCACAGGACGCCCGATCAGGTGGCCCACATCCTGACCACCTAGTGGACAGGGTATTATTCCAATATCTATTGTGCATTACTATAATTTATAATTTATCTATTAATAAATCAATCTGTATTCGGCTCTTATTTAGTGGTTGAAATGAATTAAAAAAATATTTTCGCACATGAGTAGTTTCTGTGTGGCAGCTAATTACAATTTGACTGTCACCGGTTTCGGCTAACTTAGGCTATTACTAAAATAATTAATAAAATATCTAATTTATGGTGACGGTGGCCCTTTGGAAAAGCTCCAGAGTAAGGGCGGAAAAAAATGCGGGAAAGTTACTGGCGGCAAGCTGTTGATCAATGGGCGGATTGAAAGTTTGGGAGTATGGCGACTCCAGTAGAGCCAAACAACTCGATTCGTTGAGGCTTATATCTAGATAGTCATCCGGACCCTCTGCAAACATGCTGGAAATGCTGCAATCAAAAACCGAAATATTGAGTTAGAAATTGAGGCTGAGAAGAGGATGATTTAGTGACCCACCGATAGTTGCTGTTGGCGCCAATGCGATCGATTCTATAACCCAAAAGCATATAGCACACATCGCGGTACTCGTCTCGGGCCGCCTTGAAGCAATCCTTCATCTTGCGCATCTTGCCATTGGCTGACTCCAAATCGGCACGCAGTTGGTTGAACTCCTTAAAGTTCAGGGTCATGCCGCCCGTGCTGGTGGTCTCATTGAGTCGCTGCTCCTGATCGTCCTCCAACTTCTTGTTGCGTCGCTTCAGTCGTTCGATCTCCGCCTGCAGCTTCTCCATCATATTCTGGCTGGACTCATAGGCTTCGGCAGCGGGATTTTGGCTAAGATGGACCACCTTAAAGTCCTTCATGTTGAAGTCGCCGCGCAGGCAGCGGTGCATCATCTCCAGCTCGAGTTCCTCTTTGCGTCTTCGCAACCGCTCGTTTTCCAGGCGCAGTGTGTCGAGTTCCTTTTTGACGCTATCGTAGCCATCGCCGGCGGGTTCCGCCAGCAGTTCTTGCTGTCGCATGGCCTGAATCTCTCGCTCCAACGTAGCACACATATCTTTGTAGCCTGTGACGGTGCGTTCGAGCACTTCCACGCGGTACCGCACCTGCATGTCCTGCGTCATGTCCGCCACACTGGCGTTGCTCATGGTCATGTCCTTGTCGAAGTTCTCCACCAGTTGCTTGTAGAAATCGCGCTCCTTGGATACGGTGATCAGCTTGCGCTGCAGTCGCTCCTTAAAGTTCTTATGTCGTTTCAGTCCAATGTTCAGATCCTCGATGTTCTTCAAGTAGATGGCGCACTTCTGTTCCAGATCACGAACTGAGGTCTGAGGATTGCAATTATGTAGGGAAAGAGCTGAAGAATAAATATGACCAAACGCACCTGCAAATGCTTGCTGTCCGAGACAGAGGAGGTCTTCTCTGCCACGTGAATTATGTCATCCTGCAGCAGTTGCTCGATGCGTGAGCGCAGGGCCATCGGGCTGACCAGGGTGTTGGCCAGACAATGATCTTGTGCGACCTTGACCCACTCCTTGAGCTCCTGCTCCACATGAGCTAGTTTCACCTGCAGGGAAGCAGCCTCTGCGCGCGCACCCTCCTCCCGGTCCAACCGTGTTTTGTAATCGTGCACCTGCTCCTCCAGCAGGAGTTTATCACCTATTAAAGTGTTTAGATGCTTGTTGTGGCTACGCAGGCGCTCCACCTCCGCGCGCAAATCCGGAACACTGGCCAGACGTTCCTGCGAGGCCTTGGTCACTTCTTTCCAGTCGTTGTAAGATTGAATTTCGAACTCCAGTTCCTGGATGCGGTCGTTGGCCACCTTTAAGCTTTGTGTCTGCTTTTCGTAGTTGCCGCGCAGCTCCTCGTGTCCGGAAACCCGAGCTTTGAACTCATCATGCCGCCGGCGCAAGCGTTCCAGTTCGCTACGCGTCGACTGCAGTTCGAGATCAGCCCGCTGGGCCATTCGGCGATACTCGCTGAGCTCATTGTTAATGCACAACTGGACATCCCGGGCATCCTCCTCCTGGAGGTACTTCTCCTTCTGCAGTTTGACAACGACCTCGTCGTACTTCAACTTCAGTTGGGCCAACTCTTCGGTGGCCCGTCTAGTTTCATCCTTGAGCGCCAACTCTCGTTTTCGCAGCGTCTGCACCTCCTTCTGCAGCTCCAAGTACCTTTTGCTGGTGGAATCACACTGTTCCTTCAGGGCGGCGCTCTTGTTCTCGGCCAGCATCAAGGCCTGCCGGTGTTCCCGGTTCTTCTGATCAATTTCATTACGCAGCTGGATGGCTATTGCCTTGGTTTCGATCAGCTCGGTGCGCAGTTTGCTGCACTGCCATGAACCCAAGGGATCGGTGGAGGAACTATTAAGGGAGGCGGCACTGGCGTTCAGGCTGCGATCCGGCGACTCACGCTCCAGACGACGCTTTTTGGGCGCTGCTAGAACAGATATTTGTTATATTATATTTATTTACTTCTTTATTACCATTAAAAAACACTTACCAACCACTAAATCATCGCAAAATGAAGTCGAAAGCCGGTTAAACAGCAGTTTCTTGGGCGCCGAGTGTGTTATGCTGTCGTTAAAAATCGCCATCATATTGTCCATGCTGCTCCGTATGTCGTCCATTTTAAGTAAAGTCTGAGTTTGGTATATTGCTTAAGACTTTAGTTAAATTTATTGTATTTTTAAGTTGGCTTTGTAAAATGGAGCTGTAAAATCTACGCTTGCAGTGTGGCTGCCAATTGTTTGGCCTAGAATTCCAAATCGTAAATTTTTAGTATTTTTTATATATTAAAGGCGCGCGGCTTAAATTTTATTATTTTAAATTTAATATTTACTTTTCTAAAATTATTGGTCGAAAATAAAGCCTTTATTCAATTATAAAAGCATAAAATACTATTTCTAAGATTGAAAATAATTATACGATAAAATTGCATTAGCAGATTAATGCAGAGTTTCGGAGTGGTATTTATAATTAACTTAATATTATTAAGATCTTAAAGTTTTACAATACAACATATGTATAAAAAAGCCGTACCTCTGATTACAAAAATCAAATAATAACGCTATTTTGCGTTTTTTTCACTTGCATCTATTTATTCCTTAGGACCAAAATATACTAATTGTGAAAATTTTTACAATTTAACTACAGTCCAATATATAACTATAAAGAGAGATTACTCAAATAAAACTTATTAAGAAAACGAAGTGAACCCATCAAAATATGACCCCAAGTAAAGTTGCCAGCCCCAATTAGTATTTTCCAGTGTGACTCTTTTATCTGCACCACCCAAAAGTATGTTACAAAAAATACCACAAGTTAAAGCTATCGCTGTCGATAACGATAGTTCTTCGAGTGGTGCCGAAAATAAAAATTGATTCGCGTTTGTTCTCGGCTTAAAATGAATTAAATGTTATTGTTTTCGCACCGAAAAAACTCATAGAACGCCACATTAACAAATCCCTTTGGTCAAACGGACTTAACTTAAACAAACGAAAAACTGCCAAAAACTATAGCGTATGTGAAGCAAAAGGCGTGTGTACCATACATACCACCCGATAAGAGAAAAAACGGTAAAAAGAAAGCTTTTAAAGAAACAAAAAGAGATAATAATAAATTATCAAAAAAAAAACAACGAAACGTGTGTGCCGCAAAAATTTGCGAAACTCGCAACAAAAAAGTGTATGTCAAATAGGAAAATGTGGCTCCGCCAGCGATAACGGTACTCCAATGCGCTCTCTCGCACGCACACAGACACACCGCACACCACTACCACTGCCAATAGGGAATCCTGACCAACAGCCGCACCTTTAAAAGTGGGCGTAGGTAGAGACATGTTACTATAACAAATTGCCAAAAAGTGATGTGTGCCATTTGTTTAAACAAATCCTGGCAGGCTTAAACTAATACCTTGGCTAATTTCAATACACACCTATACACGCACACACATACTCGCATACCCACGCAGGGAGAGAAGGAAATAAAAGAAAAGAAAAGGAGAGGATAGAAAGGAAAGAAGAAGAAGCAGCATCGGCGCGTTGGAGAAATGTGCGGGAAGAGAAGATTGAAAATAAACGTGTAGTAGAGAATTTTTGAAACACTCACTCGCACCCACACCTCCCACACTCTTTCCCTCTCTTTCCCTCTGCGTATCCCGTTTGCCGCCTACACACACACACACATCTATTCGCGAAAAGCGTGAGCTTTGTTGTTGGTTCTCCCACTTCCTTTCTCTCTGAGGCGCTGCTCTTGTTGTTGTTGTTGCCGCTGAGCAAATGGCAGACCCTCTAAGCGGGCGCCGCTGGTGAGAACATGTCGTAATGGCCAGAGAGGTAAGTGCAAACGTGCTAAAAGCAAAGCCGGCAACTAAGATCTAACGGTTCATATCCCGATCGCAAGAGTATCTAAAATTCATCTCCAATTATCAGCTGTTCTCAAATCATAACCATCCCTCTTATTTATTTTGCAAACCCATTTTGAACATAAGCCTAGCCCAACATTAAAATGGTTTGATACCTAGCTTTATCGTGGATAAGGTTTTCTCCAAATTTGCTGATCCGAAAATTACAAAGAGCGCAATTTAATTAAAATAGTTTTGTGGGGAAGTGCTTTGTAGTATTAAAAATAAAAAGCATTTTTCAATACACATTTCATGTACCAAACTCAATAGATTGTTTATTATTACGACCAGTTTCATAATCGAGGATACACTTTGCGAGAAATTGTTCAAACCATAAGTGTCCAATCAACACTGTCCATCAAAGAATGACAACAAATCGAAAAATTAGGAAGTACTTCAACTTTTGATTGCAAATCTTTATTTTGGGTGAAATATGTATATACATACATTTAACATATAATTTTGTATTTATCAAATCAGTTTAAAAAGTGTACTAAAATATAATTTTGACAGATCTGAGAGCTATGAAATTTTCCAGTTAAATGTCAATGTCATTTTTAATACAATTTAAAAATTCATATAGGGCCCATTGTGAATTTAATGAGAAACTGGGCTACGAAACTATGGGAGCTCTGCAGTACCTATTTGAATATTTCATAAGACAATCTTTTGTGAGTGTATCTAGCAAGGCGTATCGCTGCGGATACTCCGCATTCGCGTCCGCATCCGCTAGAGGAACCTATTAAGCCTGTGGCCCGCATTAGTCTCTTTGTGTGCGTGTCCCCCAAGCTCCTGCTCTGCATGTGTGTGTGTGTGTTTGTGCATGTTTTATGCAGTTCCTTCGTTTCGTTTTGCTTTGCGGGTGAGTGAATAGCTTTGACCCAAATAACTGAGGTAATACTTACGCCTCACAGATGTGCCACTCCCCCAACGCCCTTCTTTCCCACTCCAACCCTCATCTCACGTGCAGCTGCAACTGTTGTTGTTCTTCTTCCTCTTCTTTTCCTCCCATCACCACCCTCCCTCCTCTGAAAGACATTTTTCTCTCTGGCTTTTCCAAAATTGTTGCTTTGAAAGCTGCTTGTCTCCAAAATTTGGTTGCAAATTCCCCAAGCTTAGGAATTCCGTAAAAATCTGGTAAAAATGCAACCGAGATTGCTTTTAGTTGGCAGTTGATCTGACATTATTTAGCATAAACAAAACGGAATTATCTCTGCTTCTTGCTGCAATTAAAAATCTCGGCCAACAGCAGTTACAGTTATTTTCAAGCTCTGTTATCCTTTTAACATTTTCAACTGGCAATGCTTTTAAGAGACAGAGAGAGAGAGAGAGAGCTGCATATAAAATGCATCTCTCCTTTCTTTTTTTATTAAAAGACCTGAATGCTTAATGTTACAGTTAAAATGTAACACGGGTTATGCCCCCAAAAAAGCTCTCTATTTTCCAAAGTTAAACAATCCAAAAGTAACTGTTAATTGATCGGCTTTGATTGGGTGTAAATATTTACAAAATCAAACGCTTGGGATCCTGGGAATACTTGTGGAGCGTTTCGCGGGAGAAGGTGCGCGCGCCTTAGCGCCCTGATTATATCACATTGATGCAAATGTAGGCCAAAGCACGACCAAATAATGTTGACTTAAAAAATAGAGGAAACTAAAGGGAAGGGGGTTTTAAATAAACGAGATGAAGTGAGAGATAAAAAAATAAATATAATATCAGTAAGGACTTAATGCTTAAGTGTGGCTTTAAATAAGCTAGATTGTAGTAACGGGTATTTTCCCCACTCTCCCTATCTCTGTCGCTCTCATGAAGCTTTGCGCTGCATTTCACCTCGTTTTCACTGCACTTCTCTCGAGTTTATGCCTCGTGCTCATTTCAAACGCTGTTAAAGCGCTGCAAAAACGCACCCAGCCCCAAAAAGTCGAAGAAGCAGCAGCAGCAGCCGTAGTGAAATCCGATGCAGCATCTCATCGGGAAAAACTCACAGTTTGCTTTGCCAGGCTGCCAGGCACACAGGCAGCGAAAGAAAAGGCTGCTGCCACTTTTCGCTTTGGCCCGTGGTAACACCACGTTTCAACTGGGTGTGGACTAAACAAATCCAGCGTTTTTCTACAATATTACCTTTTTCAAAAATAATATATTATTCTAAGTCTAAGACAGTGTGTAAGGCAGTGTCAAATGAAAACGATAACTCGGCGGTTTCACGGGCTAAAGGGGAGCTGCTGCAGGCGCGTAGTATCCGTAAAGTGAAAGTGCGAAGGTCAACCCGCCCTGACCTGCCCCAAAAATACGAATACGAATGCGAACTACGAAATACGAGCAGTGAAAAGCGAAATTCGAGGCACATCTGCTCTGCAAGTTTTTACAACAAACTTAAGAAAGCAAATTTAAGTGAACGAAGAACCCTTTTTACCAGAAACAACATTTAGTGCAAAGTGCGTTTTTTTTCGTGACTCCCTAAGAATTTTTGTAATAACGAATTTTCCCCCCTGAACGCAAGGCATTTAACACTCAAACAATAAGCAATAAGCTTTAATTTTTGTAGAACTTTTCGTAAAAGTGTCCGAAAACGGATTTTATAAAGCGTACAGCGGTACAGGTTTATATAACGGATTTTTAAGCGGACATGGATTACTGGTGCTTGGAGCTCCAAGTGTGAGACGACCTTGGGAGCGACAGAGCCCACAATTGCAAGCCAGCAGCGCAGATTCGGCCTAAAAGTGGCTGGCAGCAGCAGCACCACCAACAGCACCACCAGCACCACCATGTGGTCCAACGCCCTGTGCACGCTGGGCGTGACGAAGCCGCTCTGCAACTGTCTGAGCATCAGACAAGTGGCAGCCGCAGCTGCGGCGGCGGCCCAGGCCACGCAGGGCGTTGCTGCCTCTGCCGCAGCTGCGGGTGGGGGCGGAGTGGGTGGTGGGGCCATCACAACGGGACCCTCTTCAGCCACAAACGGTGGACTGTCCACAATGGTAATGGTTCCGCTTTGTGAGGGATGAGTAACATCATGCACCCATTCAATCGGTGTTCATTTAGCTTTTGGGTGGCATAATCCTATTAGAACTAGGGAGAGTACTATTCACCTCTATCCATGAACTACACTTAATTATTAGTTTATTTAGGGATACCCCAACAATTTTACTATGCAAATCTTACAGGTTCCCTAAACGGATCTACAAAAAATGTTCCTAAATTTCGATCCATTATTTTTGTTCTAAGCTATACTCTGGCCGTTCGGTAAAAATTGGGGACTTCTTTTATAACAGTTTATAGATTTACAATAACTTTCTATAGTTGATTTGCCGTAAAAATATGGAATAAAAGC